CTGTGATAATATTTTTGTGTACTAAAATTTTTAACAATGGTTTAGGAGAACAATAGATTGTATAAAAAGCATTTTTTATAGTTGAAACACTTTTCAAAATGTATCTTAGCTGGGTTTGACAAAACAAGCGATAACAAACGGACCAAGGTGATCTTAGCTACAGGTATATAGGCCTCGCAGATACCGAAATCCCTATTCAAAATATGTTTTATATATAAAATTCAACTAAAATTATATACTTGAATTATCATACCCTAATTGGTGCTAGTTCCCCTCTTTTTAAATTTAATGGAATTTCACTATTCTCGTTGGTGTAATGTGAGCAACTGAAATAGCGGGAAAAAAGAATTGGAAATAACAGCTCGCTTTGTTTCATAATGTCATCGTTGCCTTCTAAATGATGCTACTATTATTATTCAGATCAAAAGCTTTTCGTCTTTAGGTTTAAGGAAGAAAAGCGCTGGTAAAAAAAGACACGTTTATATTATAATGACATAATGACCTTAAACATGTACTTATTAATAAAGCCGATATATTTTAAGCCTTGACCAAGTTGCGAAGGAATGACTTTCTAATATTATGTATTTGCCGTTGAAAAAAATAGTCTGCATCATCAGACATACTTTCTTGACGGTTCGTCAGAGTGCTTAGCATCGGTCAAGCATGGATGAGAGCATTTGTAATCGAAGGTTAAATTAACTAATGCTTAGATTTACGAAACAATTTGCAATGCTTAAAGCAAAATTATGACTAGTTTTTACTTGGCTTAAAGCACTAATTAACTATTTTTCTTTTTATTGATTTAATTAATAATGTTTAGGTATTCTCGATAATACATTTTTCTGGATCTCAAGAAACCTAGTATTTTTTTTTGTAAGAGTCCCCGAAAAAAATTTGAAAGTATAAAATTCAAGATTAAACAAATATTATCGTACGGAATTAAGATTTCCCTCACCTTTTTTTAAAATAATTTTTGTATAAATTTTTTCATTGATAAAAATCTGTGATAATTTCGCATTTCAAGCGTTCTTTTAATACTTCCTAAAACGTAATATCAAGTCAAGTTATTCTGTGTAGCGAAAAATCAAGAGTGATAAAGGAAAGTGATGAAATTGTAAACTCGAGTAAGAGAGAACAGACGAATTCGATAGATCTTGAGGTTTAAGTACGAAAACGATATCGTTGAAGACAAGAATGACACATCTACACGGAAAAAACATTCTGAGACCTGAAGATGATTTCAATAAAGATCGAAACGTTGGTACGATAAAGAAAATATTTTTCTAAAACCTACGTCACATCAGACCGCATCTCACGATCTCCGATTAATCTTTTTCGTAAAATTAATCATTTTTACCCCCTTTTAACTTCAAATTAACAACTTTTAACTTCAAATTTACTCTTTTATTTTCAAATTAACCTTTTTACTTATAAAGTGAACCACTTCTAACTTCAAATTAGCTTTTTACAATTTCATATATACGTTTTTAAATTTTATGTGTAAAACAATCATCTATAGCTTTTTTCATAAAATTAACCATTTTTAACATGAAATCAACCTTTTTTTATTTAAAATTAACTCTATTAGTTTCAAAGTAACGCTTTCTTTAAAAAAAAGAATATGATATGATATTGAGGATATGATACAAAATCTCAGCATATAAATTCGAATTCCTGTATGTTTGCGACTTAAAAAAAATGCATATAATAATACAATTAGGCCCTTAAAATACCATATGAAAGCTAATTACAATTAAATGTAAAAATGAAATATAAAAATAAAGGATTCTGTTCTTTATTTGACATAAAATATTATAAAAACAAATATGTATATCTAAAATACCACAAAAAATACAACACGCGTTCTTATATAACATATCATATGAATATTAATTACAATTAAAAGAAAATTTTAAAATTAAATATAAAAACACTCGATTTGTTTATTAATTCAAGATTTTTTAAAATATAAATCAATTGGTCATCCATCGTAAGAGCGTATGTTAAAGTTGACCTTGTCAGTTTAGTGATTAGTCCATAAAATGAAAGGAATTGGCCTCCCTGCCAAAATTGCCATCGCTATCATTAATTTAATATCTACTAGGGAGATATTTTAACAAATCGAGGGATTCAGTTGAAGGTCCGCGTGTAGGTCAATTAGGAGTTCCACAGCGGGAATATTAAGCTCAATTTTATTTGGACTTTATACACGAGATACAATTTAAATATAACGAGATGTAAGCATCGTATTATGTGCAAATGATATATGTTTTTATGCGGAACACTTTTTAACAGCGCGCTAGGTAAATTTGACGAGGGTATATACGGCAGTAATAAGACCCAGAATAACCTACGGATCACTAATCTGGTGGAACAAAGCTCAACACAAAGTAGCTACCCAAACATTAGGCAGCTTACAAAGATTAGCAAACCTATGTATCACAGGGGCGATGAGAACAACCCCTACAAACGCATTAGAAACCTTGCTAAACCTACCTCCACTTGAAATATTCATACAAGGAGAGGCTAGGAAAAGCTCATTTAGGCTCCAAAAACAATTAAATTGGAAAGGAACCAAACAATTCGGGCATACAACCATAATCAATAAAATCAGACACCCATTGTTAGAAATGGGGACTGACTACATGATCCCGGAAACAATCTTCACAACTTCCTATAAAGTCTCAACAGACTATAAAGGAGAGGAAGAACACAGGAAAGCATCAGATACAATGACATGGTATACGGATGGCTCCAAAACAAACGAAGGAACCGGATCAGGCGTTTTCTGTACAAGCCCAAAATATGAGCAATCAAACTCATTAGGGAAGTATACTTCGGTCTTTCAAGCAGAAATACATGCCATCAATGCTTGTGTCCTGGAAAATCTCAAAAGAGGTTACACTGACAAAAAAATCCTCATAAGATCAGACAGTCAAGCAGCTATTAAAGCACTGGCATGTAAAAGAATTACATCAAAACTAGTCAGTGAATGTATCCAAAATCTCCAAAACCTGGGAGAACACAACAACCTGATGATATCTTGGGTGCCAGGGCACAGGGGAATTCTGGGTAACGAAGAGGCGGACAAACTGGCCAGAAGAGGATCTGCAAGACCATACATAGGCCCCGAACCTATCCTTGGGATAACAAAAACAAACATAGATTCCTCCATCGCAGAATGGATCCAAACAAAACAAAGAGAGAAGTGGATAAACTCTAGCGGTGCTAGACATAGTAAACTTATGCTGAAACAACCCTCACCAAAATTGGCAAAAACACTGCTGCAATTGGAGAGGGCAAAACTCAGGGGAGTGGTGGGACTACTAACCGGTCACTGGTATCTGAGAAAACATCTACACAACATGGGTATATACAGCGATGACCCCATTTGCAGATTATGTAATGAGGAGGAGGAAACAGCCACTCATATCATCTTCGAATGCGAAGCAACAGCTCAATGGAGGTTTAACCTAACGTACGAAAAAGACTCAGGGAACCAAATTGTAGCAATAACAGTCAATGACCTGATGATACTTCTGAGAAGAAGGATTGAGTCTATTGACTAAACTAGGGAACTGGGAAGGTACAATAAGCCAGAAGGCTGCAGTGCCTGGGGAACACAAGCCCCGCTTCCCGGCATCCCTTCCACCATACCATACCATGTGTGTCCTTTCCGAAATACATAACGAAACTGGTGTCGGTTGTGTTAAGCACGAATGCTTGATTAATTTGCCCCAAAAAACTAACTTAGCTGAGCTATACGCCGTTTCAAACGCTCTCAGTTACTTAAATTCCCATAAGAGTCATAAACGCATAATAATCACTGATATTTTAAGTTCCATGCTAAAGTTGACTGATTATCGGAACTTATATGTAGCATACGTTAAAACCATGCTATTTGCAACAAGTATCAGTTTAAAACATAGATAACTACTTCAAATATATGTGACTACTGCTCAAAAATAGATTCTTGCGAACTTCTTATTCTGAAATGCCATCTCTTCCACGCAATTACCGAAATATTCAAGTTCAATTAATTTGTAAGTTGAGTTGTTACCGCTCGAATGTAAAATTTTTGAAAGAAATTAAACGACAACTATAACGGTATAAAATTTGTTTTGAGGGGCTTGCGCCGCGTGGAAGCGATCTTTCTCAGGCCTGTAAAATAAAATAAAAAATAAAATTTTTAAAATTGGTACATGACTAATGGCTATTTAGGCTAATGTAAAAAACAAAACCGTCAAGTAAAATTCCTGCATATGAAAGAAAAATAATTTATTTTTAAAATTTTTTGAAATCGTGATGAACGGTCAAGAATGAAGGAATATAAAAACAATTTCACGTTTCACAACACTTTCACACAAAACTAATATGACACCTCAAGAATAGAATTGGGGCGTCGGTGGCCGCAACGGTTTGATCGTTGACACGGCGCTCATCACTGAAAGTAAAGGTCCCGGGTTCGAATCCAGCGGTCCTGCATTCTTCTGCTTTTTTTTTCAAAAACACCGGCACTCTGAGGGTTTTTCACCCCCGAACCCTCGTTAAAAAAATACATGGTTCAAAATTTATATTTACATCTTAAATTGTATTTTTTCAATGAACATATATTTTGTCATTTGGCTCTCACAAATTATGAAACAACCGGTCACTAAGAAACACACATTTATTGTTATATTTAATTTTATATAATTTTTAGTTTTAAAAGTAATTAATTTTTATTTGGGCCTCTAAAAGCCCAATTTTTTTTAGTTGTTTTTAATGTTTTAAAGAAAGTTTCATTTGAAATTTAAAATAGTTTAATTTGAAATGAAAAAGAGTTAATTTGAAACAAAAAGTTGTTTTGAAGTTAATAGTGTTAATTTGAAGGAAAAAGCAATATATTGATTTGTAAGGCTGTAAGGTCCATCGTCACATCAATTGTGTAGATTTGGCATAGTTTATCAAAGAATGATTCAAATTCTTATGATGACTACATAGAAAAGCACCTCGTTTACCTGATACAATTGTCTGGGTCATTTTTGCAGTCGGTGTTGCATCGGAATCTTTCCCAAGCGAGCCAACCCATTGGTGGTGTCCTGACTAGGCCGTTGTCCAGGGCCACGGCCGTCCCGATGAGTAACACGAGAAAACGCATATTATTACCTAAAAAAATAAATAAGTTATTACTGAAAGGCAGTAATTATATCAAGATTACTTTGCATTTAGTCTATGAATTAAAAAAAAAACATTGAAATTGCTTATTCGGAGATCGTGAGATGCGGTCTGGTATGATGAAGATTTTAGAAAAACATTTTCTTTATCGTGCCAACGTTTCGATCTTTACTGAGATCATCTTCAGGGCCTGGGATTTATAAACATTGTTTAAATTTTACAAATACATATAGGATGTGAAAAAATATGAATTTATACAATGCTAGAAAATTTTAGGTTAAAAAAATGATTTTATAAAATGCTAGAAAATTTTTTATTAAAAAAATGAATTTATACAATGCTAGAAAATTTTAGGTTCAAAAGAATTTTAATTAATTTAAAAAAATAAAAAAATTATGAAATTATACAATTGTAGACAGTTGAATCTAAAATTGTCTAACATTGCATAACTTCATACTTTTTTATTTATTTTTTTAACCTAAAATTGTATAAATTCATTTTTTTTTAAATTCATTTTTTTTCACATCCTATAAAAAATCCCAGGCCCTGAAGATGATCTCAATAAAGATCGAAACGTTGGCACGATAAAGAAAATGTTTTTTCTAAAACCTACGTCACACCAGACCGCATCTCACGATCTACTAATAATCATTAACTAACGGTCGCTAAACACCACACATTGAAATTGCTTTTATACAAATGGAAACAAGATCAAAATACTTTAAATTTGTCCAGGGCCGTTAGCGTCAAGTGAATGTATAAATAATTTTTAAAAAAATACACTGAAGGCGGCGAAAATCAGATCAGAGAAGATCAATATCGTACCAAACGTCTGAGTCAAAGAGTTAGAAAAAATAAAACAAAATAAAATAAAAGCTTTCTAATTCATAAGAGTATTTCCGTACTCCCCCAAACTTCTAATCACTTTGAAGGTGTGTACCAAAAGGCCAACAGTGAATGTTTGTTAGATAACAACGAAAATTGGGTTATTTCCTCATACCAAATGTTTCAGTTGTCAGTGTAAGCATGATTTAGAAGCATAGGTTAAGTGCTTGCACCTAGTAAGATCATCACAGATTACTGATCGTAATCTCAAATCACATTTTCAAATAGAATAATACGAATTCGAAATGGAATAATTCGGATAAATCGAGTGATACTATCGTTCGATGTTTATTCAGTTCTGAATGATATTACCTCTCAACAAAAATCGACACAACCTCAACTCAATCTTATCAACGAATCAAATATATTCTAGTGATAATGTGTAAGGTGTAATCAATTCTGATCATTACATTACAACAGAAAGCGTTTTAGAAGTTTTTATTTTGTTTCGAACTTATTTTTCTCATTTATAATTGGATAAAATCTAAACATTATTTACATAGTTTAACGGAATAGGAATTCAACTATTCAGCACTTTAATAACTTACAATTTGGTTAAAACCCAGATGAGTGATGAATTTTTATGTCGAACACCGCACTTTGGAGAAAGAAAAGCCCCTTGACTAAGTTAATCAAGCCCAAAAATGTCTCTATTTTTACAATGAAAATTCGTCTTTATGGGTTTCAAAAGGTGGTTAAAATGAATCTAAATTTGTATTTCGGCCCCCAAAAATTTCTGAACACAATTTCTGTAAAAAATCAAATATAATTTTTATTTATTCAATATATTATATTTCGTGGTCCGATGGACAAAATAACTTCTTTCAATTAATTAATCTTTTTATGTAAGGTATTGGTTGAAATGAAAAAGCTAATGTCACGAGCGGGATTCGAACCCGCGACTTTCGGCTCAATACGCCGCTGCTCTAACTACTTGAGCTTTCGTGACTTCGATCCACTCGGACACCAACTCCCCATCTCAACCTAAAATATAAGTTTTATTTAAATAGTTGCCTTTTAAAATACCGGCGATATTTTTCGAAAATCACAAAAATGGCTGTAACTCACAACGATTTCACCAATCCATGGCAATTTTAACAGAGGTTTTGAACCTTATAAAATACAAGCAATGATATATTTATTCTTCGTAAATAGACCAAAACAGGAGAAATGGAATAAAACATTTGCGTAGTTTTTATTGTGTTTCAAACTTATTTTCTTGACATAAAATGTAAACATTATTGATGTGGTCCAACAAGAGAGGGTTTCAGCTATGCTTAGTCGTAATAACAATGAATTTAATTAACAGTGGAGTTATGAATTTTAAAGCGTAACACCGGACTTTGAAGAATGAAAAGGCCTCTGGCTAGGCTAACCGAAAATGTCTATTTTTTCAATGAAAATTCATTCTTTTTATTTAAAAATATTTTTATCCTACTTTACTGAAAACGTTTTTTGATTTGTTGATTTATTTTATTTCAATTAATACAAGCTTGCATATTAGTTTTTAATATTCCGTAAAATAATCGACTAATATATAATAATATTGAAATCCGTAAACATGGAAGGCAAAACACTAAATTAAAAAAGGTAAATTATTTAAAATAATTACTTTCTCGGCTCCTAGAACAGATTGGCAATAACTCTTGCATGCATGGCTAATATTTTTGATCTAGTATTGGGAAATAGTTTCATTAAAATCGGTTATCCCACGTCAGTTGTAGGTGGATTATAATACAGCAAATTAATTTTTTTATACAGGGTTTTCTTACGTAAAATGAATGTATTTATTAGCGTGAGTTTTGAATATGTGTGTGTGGGTTGTGGCAGAATATAGAGTACCCAGCAGACAAACCAAACTAGGTTGAGATTTTTCTGTGAGTGTTTTGCGTCTTGAACAAATGTATTTATTAGCGTGAGTGTTGAGTATGCGTAGGTGGGTTATGGTGGAATATCTAATACCCCACAGACCCACTGAACCGGATTAGCTTTAGGTTAGGTGTTTTTAGAGTCAAAGGAAGGAGGCAGAGGCGTGATATTTGCTCCCAATTTTAGCTGTACGTACGGTATTAGAATTATAATCAGTATGATTTTTTTTTATTAGCGTTAATGAGGGTGTGCCTGCAGTGTAATATCCAGTACCCTGAACCCGCCAAACTAAGGTTAGGCTAAATTTGAATGCTTAGGTACGCATCAGTTTTAGAGCCTTTTCACCATATGTGAAGGGATAAAATATGAGTAGAAATCAAGTCCCAGACGTTCCATCATAGTGATCATTCCACAATACCCTATGGTTGTCTCTCGTAAGATGATAAAGTCCGGCTCGCTTAAAACCGCTTTGCATTCTTATTACCGTCGGGCTGCATTCTGGAATGAAAGATGATGATCTTCCCACTGGGGTATCTTATACATCCAAATAGAGGCACCAGTTCTGCTTATAAGAGAACCAGAGAAAGCAGGTTGCCCACGAGTATCGCCTTCGTATTTGGCGGATTTGAAATCATTTCACTTTGGATTATATAATATGCAGTTCTGGGCGCCCAGCGGGTTTTATCTGGTACTACTATGCCAATGTAAAAAAAAAATCATTTCACGTTACAATATTCAATTTGGTAGGTGACCCGGCAAAACACAAAATTATTTCGGCAGATATGACGCATAGCCAAAAATTAAATTAAAAATGTTTTATGAGCGTTAGACGCTTGGTTCATAGTATAGCTTTTTACTGTCATATTCGCTTTTTAACTTCAAATTAACCTTTTATTAATTTCAACATTTGTTTAAATTCTAATTAACCCTTTTCTTAAAATCATTAAACAACTTGGGAATGTTATGAACTCTAAGCATGTGAAGTAGGTAAAATTCCTGTATATTAGCAATTTTTTTAATATAAAATAATTGGGCTCTTAGAAGACAATCTGAAAACTATTTACATTGAAAAATAAAGGATTCTTTTTTAATTTAAGGCATAGTGATATAACTTTTTAATCATTTTCAAAAAACATAACTTTTAAATCATTTATAACCATTTTTCGTCAAATTAACTTTTTTTAAATTGAAATCAATCTTTTTTTAAATTTTAATTTTATCTTCAATTTAACACTTTGTCATTTCAAATTTACTCTTATTTGTTTCAAAATAACCCTTTCTTAAAATAAAAATAAAACTTAGGTGATGGTATAAAATATCAGAATGTAAAGTGAATCAATTCTTGTATGTTTGCGATGTTTTTATTACACATAAAATAATTGGGCTCTTAGAAAACCATATGAAAACTAAGAACAATTAAAATTTAAAACTAATTATACAAATAAGATTCTTTTTTTTTCATTTGAGGAAAAGTGATATAACTTTTAAATCATTTTCAAAAATCATAAATTTTAAATCATTTATAGCCTTTTTTCGTCAAATTACTCCTTTTTATCTTGAAATCAACCTTTTTTTCAATTTCAAATTAACTGCTTTTAACTTCAAATTAATACTTTTTTATTTCAAATTTACTCTCACTTATTTCAAATTAACCCTTTCTTAAATTTAAAATGAAAGTTAAGAGATGATATAAAATATCAGCATGTAAAGTGAATCAATTATTGTACGTTTGCGATGTAAAAAAAAAAAATTTATGACCGTTAGACGCTTGGTTCAGAGTTTAGCTTTTTACTGTCATATTCCCTTTTTAACTTCAAATTAACTTTTTTTAAATTTCAACATTTGTTTAAATTCTAATTAACCCTTTTCTTAAAATCATTAAACAACTTGGGAAATGCTATGAAATGTGAAGTAGGTAAAATTTCTATACATTCGCAATTTTTTTAATATAAAATAATTGGGCTCTTAGAAGAACTATTTACAATTAAAAATAGAGGAAGAATTAAAAATAGCCTTTTTTCATCAAATTATCTTTTTTTTCACTTTAAATCAATCTTTTTTTAAATTTTAAATTAACTGATTTTAACTTCAAATTAATACTTTTTTAATTCAAATTTACTATTACTTTTATCAAACTAACCCTTTCTTAAAATAAAAATAAAACTTACGAGATGGTATGAAATATTAGCATGTAAAGTGAATCAATCCTTGTAGCGTTGTTTTTATTACATATAAAA